CAGGCAGGCTCCCTGAAGGCCTGGGTGCTCAGAAAGCCAGACCATTCAGACGCACCCCTCCCGCCACCCAAATGACTCGTAGGTCTCTTAGAGACCAAGTCTGTCCGACTACTCTGTGGCTGTCTACTCCCACCCAGAAAAACGCCCTCGACCTTCCCATGGGACTATACCTGGCACTTTTACAGTAAATAAGAAAGACTCCAAGTAAGAAGGACACCTACCAAGGACATGGGGTATCCTGGAGGCGCCCCCACCAGTGTATGTGCCTCCTTCCTTCCTTGTGGGACCGCCGTCCACGTCTGACATTCACTCCCACACTGCCCAGGGTGGTGGCTCTGCTCAGCTACTGTCCTGTGTTGGTTGTCCACATTCGTACCCTCTGGTCCCTGGAGTTCAGTGTGGTTGTCTCTGCTCATGCCTTCCCCCACGCCACCCAATGCTCGCTGGTCACACGGGATCTCTAATGCACAACTTCCCTCACATTTTAAATTGGGCACAGGAGCAAGGACTCAGTGTCCCCTGACCTCAACCCAACCAGAAGTTGAACCAACTTTTACTGAATGCTATCTGGTGCCAGCAACACGGTCCGAGGACTAACAACAAAGAAGGATGACGTCCTTCCGCTGTCCCCCCAGAGAAGACTCTAGGTCTCGCCCATGTCCCCTCACCTGGCTGTTCATGACCCTGCCTCGTCTGACCCCTCTGCACTTTAAACACTGTGCCTCGTACACCCCCAAGAACAGCCGCCAGTGTCATCCCAAGGAGAAGACACACTAATGCCCAGACCCGCCCATCTACCTGTCCAGGACTGAAAGGATCCACAGTCATCAGTGAGGGGCCGCCTCCCTGCTCATCTTTTCCTTGGGTGAGGAAACTGACTACCCATTACCACAGGGGTGTTTGTGAGCTGAACGAGGTTTGATTGAAGAAATATACACAACAATTGTTTAAGCAATGTAATTATGAAACAGTAGCGCCCAACGTATTTTCAACACTGCAAATCGTCTTCCACGCTTTGTCTTTCCATCACCTCAACGTGGCAGCAACGGTTATCCAGCTTGTCACCTGTATGGCAATTAGATGCCCACTAAACCTGGATAAAAGTTATTAATAAATATAATTTAAGAGCAAAAAATTCTAGGGAGAATATTGGGAATCACTCATTTAAAAATCAGAATCAGCACTTTGTGAAAACGTATCAAGCTGCATACTTGTGATTCATTTACTTTTCTGTATGTTCTACTTCAATTAAAAAAAAGAACAGGACTGTACTATAATGAAAACAACAAAAACTTACTACCTGGAATAAAAGGTCATAAAATAAATTCTGTTTCTTGCAAAAATGGAGACTAGAGAGCTTTATCAGTTCAACTGAAAATAACTGCTTAAAAAAACAACACACTTTAAATTCCAGTCCTAATGCTTCAGCATGCGCTGACAGGACTGCTAATGCCTTCTGAATGCTCACACACATTCAGTCACAGGAACCCGCCCTGGATAGACAAAGATCACGCCTGGGGTCATCTGAACCCCAAGTTCAAGGCAGCACGCCAAGTGCATAGGAGTCTCTAATCGTCCATTTAACCAATCATGTTAAAAAGCATTTCAAACTATAAATGTAACTTACTCTTCATGATGACATGAAGCAATGAGAAGGACGTTTTTGTTCCATTCTTTCTAGAACAAGAGAGAAAGGAAAGTGATCATTTCGTGCCAAAGAGTGAGCAAGCCTGGCATCACATGGGCCTTTCTCCGCCTGTGTCCTGGTGGGGCAACAGCATCACATCCAGAGACCACCACCACCTGTGCCACCAGCATGGGCGTGTGTATGCAGACCCCCAACAGCACGTCTCAGCAACCCCATGCTGGACAGCCGTGTATTCCTCAAAGGCTGTGGCGCGCACAGACGGGAGCCCACGCTCGGGGACACCTGAACGGCCGGCTGCGTTCAGAGTGAAGGCACCTCACTGTTGAGACAGTCAATCACCAGATGAAACCACAGGCCCAGAGCAAGGCCTCCAAGACCAAGTGTGTTAGCTTCTGACCTCCCTAACAACACTAGCCGAGACCTCATTTTTATGGGAAACATGGTTTGAATGCTGTGGCTGTTTTTTTGCACCAGGAGCAACCCAAATTTTTCATTGCCAAGAAATGTTTTCCCCTGAAACAAATCTTGCACAAATTGCATGCCTGGGCTCGACTGTGGAGTTCAGACCAGTTTTTACTACATTTCGTTGCTCTATTATTCATTCCCATTATAAGTGGCTTTGGCAAAATACTTCCCTTGCTGTTTAGGAAATAATTCAGAAAATGTAACTTGCACTTTCTAAAGAAGAGAGAACAAGTGAGGTAGAGAGTGGAAACCACCCCTCTTCTAGATGTCACATGAGCACACTGATTCCCATGGTGGGTGGCTGAGAAAGAGAGAGGGAGAGAGGGAGAGAGAGGGAGAGAGATGGAGAGAGAGGGCAAGAGAGCAAGAGGGCAGGGGAGAGAGAGAGGAGGAGGGAGGACAGGGGATCTGAGCTTATCAGGGCAAGTTCCACCCTCTCAGGCCTCAAACAATACCCACAGCGCTTGGGCCTTCAAATATGATCAATTACAGCAACTGGAATTTACCCGGACAGAACACCCGACACAGCTCTGCCAGGATGCCAGACCCACAGGGCACTGTCATGGAGATGGCCCAGAAGAGGACTCCAGGCCCAGCAAGGCCCTCCCCGAGCTCCCCAGGAAAAGGCTTGTGACGAGAGACACGATCCTGGATGTTCTGCTGCCCAGCTAATGCTGATGGGCTTGGCCATGATGAGGATGCTGAAGTACAGCCTTTCCACGTGCACAACACTCTGACAGAAATGACTGGGATATGAACAGGGAAGGTAGGCTGCTTAAAGATGCTCATTCCCACTTTTCAAAAGTCAAACCCCACTTCACAAAATAAATCAGTATCAATTATAAAAGGCTATCCAAGGTAATTTTAACAGAAAATTTTATTTCAGGTAAATACTCCCCTCGAAAAAAAACAACTATAGTTTCAAGGTATACAAGCATAACCTAGCAGTAATTTTAAAATTATTCTAGTTTTCAATTCTGCCTGATTGAAGAATATAGTTTGGGCCGAAAAGACCTGATTAGACTGCTCTGCAGTAACCTGCTGAGAAAGTCGAGTCAAAGGACACACGTGGAGACGGTCCCCCTTCGGCATGTGCATGCACACACTCACGTACACGCACACATGTGTGCAGGTATAACATATGTTTGTGAACAACAGGATTCACTCAAGTTCCATTCTTCTTAAACACCAAGCCTTTTGGGCTCCCAGGATTCCATGTCATTACCCAGGACTTACATAAACTTCATCACACATTCAATCATTGGTTGATACTTTCTTTACAAAGTTAAATTCTATGTGGGAAGATAAGAGCAGCTTGTCTGTCAGAATTCTGGGAGGCAAGGAAACATGTACAACTTTTCCATCCTAAGAAATGTGCAACATGACACAAATGTTGCAGGTGCTTTGCAAAGTATGAAACATTTATAAAGAGAGCTCCAACTCAATTCTATAACTTTTCAGTTTATGTCTTGACCACATCTAAGCCAGAAGGGACTAAAATCCTGTGTGTCCACCACTTTTCATAATAAAAAAGGCTGCTATGCCAATCAATGCACAGAGAACCAGGGAATACTTCTGTTGGCCATTTACAGAGCACTGGCCTAGAGACCAAGACATCAGAAATGTCAACTGCTGTTGGCTGACTTAATGAACAGTGAAAACACTGCACACTAACAAACGATTTTCGGGATGTTCCATATGTTGACTAATTACATCAAGAAAATCCAGAATTACCCAGAAGTTTGGCAGGAATGTTAATTTTCCAGCTCTATGCCAGAAGTACCTCTAAACCTTCATTAAAAATAATCAAATTCCACTTACCTCAACAGGACTATGTTACAAAATGACAGAGAAGCTGTCACACACTTGGACTTCACAAAGGAAGCGGTCAGAAAGCCTCACTTCTCTAGAAGGTAGAACCACGTGATTTTCTAGGAAAGGAATGTTAACTGACAACAACCTGAAACTCCTCTGAAGCAAGGAGCTGGGAGCTGACCGACAAAATGAGCCATGACCACCTCACACACGTGTGATCCACAAAAGCAAATTACTTAATGACTTTATTATATTTACTGCTTCCTTAAAATAAATAGAATATCAAACGTACAGTGAGAAATAAAGCACACGTGTGAAAAGCAAGGTAACAGGAGTTCACGTAGGACCTGTAACACTCAGCACTCGAGGGCACGCAGCCTCCACCGCGTGTACCAACAGAGCTGCCTCCCACACGATATATACAAAACTGCAGAAGACGGAGGAGATGGAAGCAAGACCTACAATTCCCTCCTGTGTTTTGTACCTGTTTCCTCGTTACCTTTTTTATCTATCTAAAATCATGGAACAGTTACACTCATTTAACTTTTTCTCTCTATTGATCTTTATTTTTTCTGCAGTTTGAGATAGATTCAAGTAACACTCCCAAGAAAATATGTGCAAAACTAACATAAGTGACTCCAGAATCCTCGGCAGTTGGGTCAAATCCAGACTCAGAGCAGCTGGTCAGTCACAAGGTATCAGCAGAGCTGCAGCCCCGGGAGGGCCAGGAAGGGGAGCTGGGTACAGGCCCAGGCCGGACTGGATGCACCCGACTCGCAGGGAATGTCTGGTCTGGAGCAGCCTTACCGCCGGTCAGGACACATGGAGAGAACCAAAGCCACTGCACTCACTCGAGCTCTGAAGTAACTGCAAACGACCACTTTGTTTGTAAAAAGGCAACAAAACAAAACTACCAATCTAAAGGAGGACCGCACTCTCCTCCGAGGGCGTGCTGCTCTTCCGGAAGCAGGAATCAAGAGGGGCAGGCCATGACACAACGAAAACACTGTAAGAACTGTCAGCTCAAGTGCATCACCTTTTACGAGAAACATGCTCAGAGTGAAAAATATGCTACTTTACCAAAATCTGTCTTTATTAAAGTGAACAAATTATTAGAGTACTACCCAAAACGTAACCAACGAGGGCTGTCATCTGCTCAACTTGCCGTTTTCAGTTAGGCAAACGCCAGCTAATAGTACCATCCTCCATCCTCATGATTGCGGGGCAGCAAGGTCAGCTCTGTATCGTATCTGTAAACCTTATTTTAGCAGAAGACAGACTTTGCAGATTTCAGTGCTTTTAGTGAACTGGTAGTTTCAGTAAACTTTTTCTGAGCAGCAAGGAACAAGAGTTTTTTCAGAAATCTTAGAATTGGATATAAACGTTGGCAGTAGACACAATCAATAAATATCATACAATTTCTCAAATGAAAAAGATTTCCCCAACACGAGTTCCTTTCCTAAAGACATTCGAACACCGTGACCTGAGACCCGAGTCTCAGTCCTGTAATCTCAGAGATTACAGCTGGCCAACACGAGGGCATCAGGTCATGTGCAAAAGGGGGCGAGGTGAGAGGCGCGAGAGCAGAAGAAATCACTTAATTTACACTGAAGGAGAACTTCAAGTAAAAGGAATCCACCGCCTCCACGCACATCCGCCGTCTGAGGCCTCCGTGGCTACCAGGGACCACAGCAGCCGGAGCCACTGAAAATGGCGTTTCTTCCTCCTTTCTCACTCCACCTGGCATTCTCTGTGTGCTGGGAGCTGAGGGAGAATTTTCTTTTGTTGTTTAGAAGCCTCTTTGAAAAAGGTCCGTGATTTTGCACACTTCGTACCCAAACGGATGAAAATAATAAATACCGATCCCTTCGGCACATCCTTCAGACTCTCGGCCTGCACCCGCGTCATTTCCGAGTCTGGGTCTTCTTTGGCGCTGCAGGCCGCTTGGGTTGCCACAGGTGGTTGTGGATAGTGAGAGCGTCCACACTGACAGACATGGTTTTGGCTGGGATCAGGTTAAACTGTTTCCGGTCTGAGCTGTATTTGTACAGTTTGTCGATCATTTTCTTGGTAATGCTCTTTGGCCCCGTGCCAGTTAATTTGTAGATTTCTTCAGTGTCGGGATAGTAGCAGTAAAGTGCCCTGAACTGGCAGCCAGCGTCACGAAACAGTATGATGTAGTGATTGGCGTCACACTTCTCCAGCTCCTGTATCGAGGGAGTAAAGGAAAAGAGAAGAGGAGGACTTGAGAGCGGCTCCGACAGTCACAGGGTCTACAGCGTCCCACGACCAAGAGGCAGTGGCTGGTAACTACCCACTCCTGAAAGCTTCCTGATACAGCAACTACAGTCTCTTGCTCTAAAATTACGGGTCATCCATCCAGTGGAGAGTCATATGCCACTGAGATTTACTCAAGAAGTCTAGGTATGCGGGGTCGGCCCGGTGGCTTAGCAGTTAAGTGCACGCACTCCACTACTGGTGGCCCGGGTTCAGATCCCAGGCGCGCACCGATGCACCGCTTCTCTGGCCATGCTGAGGCCGCGTCCCACATACAGCAACTAGAAGGTTGTGCAACTATGACATACAACAATGTACTGGGGCTTTGGGGGAAAAAAAAACAGAGGAGGAGGATTGGCAATAGATGTTAGCTCAGAGCCGGTCTTCCTCAGCAAAAAGAGGAGGATTAGCATGGATGTTAGCTCAGGGCTGATCTTCCTCACACAAATAAATAAATAAGAAGTCTAGGTACACAAGAAAAAAATGCTTTTAAAATTCAGTGAAAAATCACATGAAAAGATGCTCAACATCATTAGCCAACAGAGAAATGCGAATCAAAACCACAATGAGATACCACACCGTAGTCATACCCACTAGGATGGCTACACTCAGACAGACAACAACAACTGTGGCTGAGGGTGTGAAGAGATGGAGCCCTCACATGCTGCTGGTCGGAATGGAAGACACTGCAGCCACCGTGGAAGTCGGTCAGACAGTTACTCAAAACGCTAAAAACAGACTTACCACGTGGCTCAGTAATTCTCCTTTAGGTGTATACTAAAGAGAAAGTAAAACACGCATCCACACAGAAACTTGTACGAGAACGTTTATAACGTTATTTATAATAGCCAAAAAGTAGAAACAACCCAAATGTCCATCAGCTGACAAATGGATAAATAAAACGTGGTCCATCCACAGAATGGAAGATTCTTTCTATATTAAGCCACAAAAACGAATGAGGCACTGACACCTGCTACAACGTGATAAGACTGCAAATCATGATGCTGAATGAAAGAAGCCAGACGCAAAAGGCCGCAGAGTGCATGATTCCCTTCATGTGAAACGTCCAGTAGAGGCAAATCCATAGAGACAGACAGCAGATTTACGGCAGCCAGGAGCTGGAGGGAAGGAGTCTAGGGAGTGGCTAATCGGTACAAGGTTTCTTTTTGGGGTGATGAAACGTGTTGGAATTAGATAGCTGTGGTGGCTGAACTACTCTGTGAACAGACTAACACCACTCAATTATACCCTCTGCAGGGCAGGTTCCACCGTCGGCGGATGGTATTTCAGTAACGCTGCCACAAAGAGCCTGAGGCAAACACGACCAGGGTCCTTGTGGCAGTGTCTGCTGTATCGCGTTCTGTAAAATGGTTTTGTATTAATCATTTTCTAAAATAGGTCCTCCTCGTGCCTAAAAAATCTAGTTTCACTTTCTAGCCCAGGTGCTCTCAAGCATGGTCCAGCGGCTCCTAACACCCTCTCAGGGTCTCCAAGGTCCACCCTCTTTTCAGAATAACTCTGAGATGGGATCTGCCTTCTCCCTCTCCTCTCTCAGTGTACAGTGGAGTTTTCCAAGGGTACGTGATGTGTGGTCTTGTAACAGACTGCGTGTAAAAGTGCATAAGGACTCAGCTGTCTTCTACAAAGCCAAGAATTAAAAAGATCTGTAAAAATATACAATGCCACCCTTCTTACTATTTTTGCTTTAGAAAATAGTTCTTCATAAATATATTTTGTCCTTATCAGCATAATGATTTTATTATTTTAAATAAATTAGTAAACAAATACATACTTTAAAAGATTAAGCAGAAAAAGCAGAATTCAAAGTGGATATATAACACTGATCTCGACTACATAAAAATCACGTTTAAGCGTGGACAGAATTAGACGCAAGAAGTCACGCATCCACACACCAGCCCTTCCTGCCCTTCCCACTCTGGCAGCCTGGTCCCAGTCACCGCCCTCACCTCTGCCTGTCGTTACTCGCCTCCCACTTACACCCTCGCTCTCTTCACATCTATCCTCGGCCCGGCAGCCAATGTAGCTATTCAGAAGGCGGGTCGGTTCATAGCCCTCCTCTGCCCACACCTGCATTTTACTCAAAGCAAGCTCCTGCAGTCCTGCCCTATGCAGCTGCCTGTGCCCTCTGACCTCCCCTCAGCGGCCCCGTCCCCCCAACCCACTGGCTCCCAGGAGCTCCAGCTCACGGCTCCCTCCCCTCTTCGTGCCTCTGCACAGTGAACTCCCGCCTGCCTGGAGCTCTCTCCCTGAATCTCCCCTCCGCCAGGACGTTTTCTAGTAAGACCTACCTGACCAGCCTACTGACCACTGCAGCCATCCTTTGGGCCCTCGTCCTGCCCTCCTTTCACTCTTTTCCAGATTCCTCATCACTTTCTTTTTTTTTTTGTGAGGAAGATCAGCCCTGAGCTAACATCCATGCTAATCCTCCTCTTTTTGCTGAAGAAGACCGGCTCTGAGCT